CAGAAATATTTATTTGGAAATAAAAAAACATCATGTAAACGTGGTCTGTGCGGCTCCTGCCCAACACACGCACTTTGGGTCCTTAATAATAAATCCTTAATCTGCCCCTGTCTGCCCCTGTCTGCCCCTGTCTGCCCCTGTCTGCTCCTGTCTGCTCCTGTCTGCCCCTGTCTGCCCCTGTCTGCCCCTGTCTGCTCCTGTCTGCCCCTGTCTGCTCCTGTCTGCCTGTCTGCCCTGTCTGCCCTGTCTGCCCCTGTCTGCCCCTGTCTGCTCCTGTCTGCTCCTGTCTGCTCCTGTCTGCCCCTGTCTGCCCCTGTCTGCTCCTGTCTGCTCCTGTCTGCTCCTGTCTGCCCCTGTCTGCTCCTGTCTGCCCCTGTCTGCCCCTGTCTGCTCCTGTCTGCCCCTGTCTGCTCCTGTCAGGTATCTCTGGTGTCTGGACTTTAAAGGAGGACTTTTCTTCTCTTCTCTGTCTGAGACGGGACTCACCTGGCAACGCTTCGACGAGAACGTCCACCAGGCGGCGCTGTCCCCCTCAGGTACCTCCAGTTGAGACCTGGTTCAGTCCTGGTTCAGTCCAGGTTCAGTCCTGATCTAGTCCTGGTCTAGTCCTGGTTCAGTCCTGGTTCAGTCCTGGTCTAGTCCTGGTTCAGTCCTGGTTCAGTCCTGGTTCAGTCCTGGTTCAGTCCTGGTCTAGTCCTGGTTCAGTCCTGGTTCAGTCCTGGTCTGGTCTAGTCCTGGTCTAGTCCTGGTTCAGTCCTGGGTCTAGTCCTGGTTCTAGTCCTGGTTCAGTCCTGGTCTAGTCCTGGTCTAGTCCTGGTTCAGTCCTGGTCTAGTCCTGGTCTAGTCCTGGTCTAGTCCTGGTTCAGTCCTGGTCTAGTCCTGGTCTAGTCCTGGTTCAGTCCTGGTCTAGTCCTGGTCTAGTCCTGGTCTAGTCCTGGTCTAGTCCTGGTTAGTCCTGGTCTAGTCCTGGTCTAGTCCTGGTCTAGTCCTGGTCTAGTCCTGGTCTAGTCCTGGTCTAGTCCTGGTCCTGTCTCGTAGGTGCTCTGCTGTGGAAGGTGGAGCAGAGGTCTCTGATGGCGTTGGCGAGCTCGCGGGCGGCGGGGGGGCGGAGACACTGGTATAAGGCGCTGGAGCACGCCGCCTACGTGGACCTGAGCGAGGACTCGGCCTGGATCATCCGGACCAACGGGGACCTGTACCTGCAGACAGGTGCGCCCCTCCCCCCCCGTTTGTGTGTGTGAGTGGGGTCTGAGGTTGTGTGTCAGGTCCCTCTGTGTGTGTGTGTGTGTGTGTGTGTCAGGTCCCTGTGTGTGTGTGTGTGTGTGTGTGTCAGGTCCCTGTGTGTGTGTGTGTGTGTGTGTTAGGTCTCTGTGTGTGTGTGTGTCAGGTCTCTGTGTGTGTGTGTGTGTGTGTCAGGTCTCTCTCTGTGTGTGTGTTCAGGTCTGAGTGCAGAGCGTCCATGCGCGCGCTCGGTGCGGGTGGAGACTCCAGGTGTGTTCGTGCAGGTGTGTGTGTGTGTGTGTGTGTGTCTGTGTGTGTGTGTGTGTCAGGTCTCTCTCTCTCTGTGTGTTCAGGTCTGAGTGCAGAGCGTCCGTGCGCGCGCTCGGTGCGGGTGGAGACTCCAGGTGTGTTCGTGCAGGTGTGTGTGGGAGGGGGCGTGGTCTGGGCGCTCACCGAACATAAAGCCGTTTTCTACAGAGAAGGACTCAACAGCTTCTGCAGCGAAGGAGAACGCTGGGTCCAGGACACAGTCAGGTACACACACACCTGTACACACACACCTGTACACACACACCTGTACACACACACCTGTACACACACCTGTACACACACACCTGTACACACACACTGTACACACACACCTGTACACACACACCTGTACACACACTGTACACACACACCTGTACACACACACACTGTACACACACACACACACACTGTACACACACACCTGTACACACACACTGTACACACACCTGTGTACACACTGTACACACACTGTACACACACACACACCTGTACACACACCTGTACACACACACCTGTACACACACACACACACCTGTACACACACACCTGTACACACACACTGTACACACACACACACACCTGTACACACACACTGTACACACACCTGTACACACACACACACACACCTGTACACACACACTGTACACACACACCTGTACACACACACCTGTAACACACACCTGTGTACACACACTGTACACACACACCTGTACACACACACCTGTACACACACACTGTACACACACCTGTACACACACACACACACTGTACACACACACCTGTACACACACACTGTACACACACACTGTACACACACACCTGTATACACACCTGTACACACACACCTGTACACACACACCTGTACACACACCTGTACACACACACCTGTACACACACACCTGTACACACACCTGTACACACACACCTGTACACACACCTGTACACACACCTGTACACACACACCTGTACACACACACCTGTACACACACACACACCTGTACACACACACCTGTACACACACACCTGTACACACACACCTGTACACACACACCTGTACACACACACCTGTACACACACCTGTACACACACACCTGTACACACACACCTGTACACACACACACACACCTGTACACACACACCTGTACACACACACCTGTACACCTGTACACACACCCTGTACACACACACACACTGTACACACACACCTGTACACACACCTGTACACACACACCTGTACACACACACTGTACACACACACACACACTGTACACACACACACCTGTACACACACACACACTGTACACACACCTGTATACACACACACCTGTACACACACTGTGTACACACACACTGTACACACACACCTGTACACACACACACACACACCTGTACACACACACTGTACACTGTACACACACACCTGTACACACACCTGTGTACACTGTACACACACCTGTACACACACCTGTACACACACCTGTACACACACCTGTACACACACACCTGTACACACACCTGTACACACCTGTACCACACACCTGTACACACACCTGTACACACACACACTGTACACACACACACACTGTACACACACCTGTACACACACACACACACACCTGTACACACACCTGTACACTGTACACACACACACCTGTACACACACACCTGTACACACACTGTACACACTGTACACTGTACACACACACCTGTACACACACCTGTACACACACCTGTACACACACACCTGTATACACTGGTACAGTCCTGGTTCAGTCCTGGTTCAGTCTTGGTCCTGGTCCAGTTCTGTTTCAGTCCTGGTTCTGGTTCAGTTCCGGTCCCGGTTCTGGTCCAGTCCTGGTCCCAGTCCTGGTCCAGTCCTGGTCCCGGTCCTGGTCCAGTCCTGGTCCTGGTCCTGGTCCTGGTCCAGTCCTGGTTCTGGTCTTGTGTCCACAGTGAGGCCCAGGGGGTGGAGCCCGTCTGTCTGGCGCTCGGTCCTGGTCTGGTCTGGGCCCTGGACTCTGACGGAAGTTTGTGGTTCAGAACCGGGATCAGTCCAACGAGACCCCAAGGAACCGACGACCACTGGTGGGAGGTGAGGAAGAGGAAGAGGAGGAAGAGGAGGAGGAAGAGGAGAGGAGGGGAGGGGGAGGAGGAGAGGAGGAAGAGGAGAGGAAGAGAGAAAGAAGGAGGGAGAGAGAGGAGACATTAGCATTAATTCATATGAAATGAATGCTCTTCCTCTTCCTCCTCTTCCTCTTCCTCTCTTCCTCCTCTTCCTCAGGTCCGGATCTGGGACTACGCTCCGTTGGACCAGGGCAGTCTGTTCCAGTCGCTCTGGTCTGGTTCCGGTCTTGGTTCCGGTCTGGGGTCTGGTCTTGGTTCTGGTCTTGGTCTTCGGGGGGGTCCTGTAGACCGGGTCGTGTCCTTCCTGTCCCAGTCGTCTCAGGTCCAGCCGACGCTGATCTGCTCCGGACCGTCTGGAGTCTGGGTCGGGTCGGCCCGGAACCAGATCCACCACCACCACAGCGGCAGGATCACAGGTCAGTCCTGGTTTAGTCCTGGTTTAGTCCTGGTTCAGTCCTAGTCTAGTCCTGGTTTAGTCCTGGTCTAGTCCTGGTTTAGTCCTGGTCTAGTCCTGGTCTAGTCCTGGTCTAGTCCTTGTCTAGTCCTGGTCTAGTCCTGGTCTAGTCCTGGTCTAGTCCTGGTCTAGTCCTGGTCTAGTCCTGGTCTAGTCCTGGTTCAGTCCTGGTCTAGTCCTGGTCTAGTCCTGGTTTAGTCCTGGTCTAGTCCTGGTTTAGTCCTGCTTTAGTCCTGTGTGTCTCTGTGTCCAGCAGAGGGCAGTGTCTGCTTGAATCTCAAATTCACACAGGGAGGGCATCTGACTTTTTGTGTGGCACAGTGGACACACAGTGGACACAGTGGACACACAGTGGACACACAGTGGACACACAGTGGACACAGTGGACACACAGTGGACACAGTGGACACAGTGGACACACAGTGGACACAGTGGACACACAGTGGACACAGTGGACACACAGTGGACACACAGTGGACACACAGTGGACACACAGTGGACACACAGTGGACACAGTGGACACACAGTGGACACAGTGGACACAGTGGACACACAGTGGACACACAGTGGACACACAGTGGACACACAGTGGACACACAGTGGACACAGTGGACACAGTGGACACACAGTGGACACACAGTGGACACAGTGGACACACAGTGGACACACAGTGGACACACAGTGGACACACAGTGGACACAGTGGACACACAGTGGACACAGTGGACACACAGTGGACACACAGTGGACACACAGTGGACACACAGTGGACACACAGTGGACACACAGTGGACACACAGTGGACACAGTGGACACAGTGGACACACAGTGGACACACAGTGGACACAGTGGACACACAGTGGACACAGTGGACACACAGTGGACACAGTGGACACACAGTGGACACACAGTGGACACAGTGGACACACAGTGGACACACAGTGGACACAGTGGACACACAGTGGACACACAGTGGACACACAGTGGACACAGTGGACACACAGTGGACACACAGTGGACACACAGTGGGTGGACACACAGTGGACACAGTGGACACACAGTGGACACAGTGGACACACAGTGGACACACAGTGGACACACAGTGGACACACAGTGGACACAGTGGACACAGTGGACATCTAACTGTTTGTGTGCAGGGAGTTTCTGGCAGACGTTGGTTCCTCGAGGAACAGTGTCGTCCACCAAATGGAGCTTCATCACCTCGTCCTCCGTCCACCCCCCGACTACAGGTACTACAAGTACTACAAGTACTACAATACTACGAGTACTACAAGTACTACAAGTACTACAATACTACGAGTACTACAAGTACTACAATACTACGAGTACTACTGTATCTATAACCACCCCCTGACTACAGGTACTACAAGTACTACAATATTACGAGTACTACAAATACTACAATACTACAAGTACTACTGTATCTATACCCCCCCCCAACTACAGGTACTACAAGTACTACAGTACTACGAGTACTACTACTGTATCTACTGTATCTACTGTCTATAACCCCCACACAGGTACTACAGTATTACAATTACTACTACTACTATTACTGTGTGTACATGTATTTTTACCGCATGTACATGTACTTTTACTGCGCGTACTTGTATTTTTACTGCATGTCCTTGTTCTTTTACTGTGTGTACTTATACTTTTACTGCATGTACTTGTACTGCGTGACTTGTCCTTTTACTACGTGTACTTTTACTGCCTGTACATGTACTTGTACTTGCAGGTTCGTTCCTGTGGTTGTACTTGTACTGCGTGTACTTGTACTGCATGTACATGTACTTTTACTGCGTGTAATTATACTTTTACTTCGTGTACTTGTACTTCGTGTACATGTACTTTTACTTCGTGTACATGTACTTTTACTGTGTGTACTTGTACTTTTACTGTGTGTACCTGTACGTTTACTGTGTACTTGTACTTTTACTGTGTGTACTTGTACTTTTACTGTTGTACTTGTACTTAGTTACTGTGTACTTGTACTTTTACTGTGTACTTGTACTTTTACTGTGTGTACTTGTACTTTTACTGTGTACTTGTACTTTTACTGTGTGTACTTGTACTTGTACTTGCAGGTTCGTTCCTGTGGTTGGCTCAGAGTCGCAGAGATCTGTTCTGTGTTTGGGACCAAGACGGAGAACTGAGGCCCTCCAGTGTCCCCCTGCCCCCAGAGGTACTGCAAGTACTACAAATACTACTACTACTACTACTACTGTCCCCCTACCCCCAGAGGTACTGCAAGTACTACAAATACTACTACTACTACTACTACTACTACTACTACTACTATACTGTACTCTACTCTTGTTGATGTAGTTCCGTGTGTGTCCTGCAGGTGGAGCTGTTCTGTTGTTGATGTAGTTCCGTGTGTGTCCTGCAGGTGGAGCTGTTCTGTTGTTGATGTAGTTCCGTGTGTGTCCTGCAGGTGGAGCTGTCTGTTGTTGATGTAGTTCCGTGTGTGTCCTGCAGGTGGAGCTGTTCTGTTGTTGATGTAGTTCCGTGTGTGTCCTGCAGGTGGAGCTGTGTCACGTGTCGGCCTGTAGAGACGCTCTCTGGGCTCTGGACTCTCACGGTCGGGTTCTGATCCGGACTCTGACCCAGTCCTGCCCCTCGGGCCTCACCTGGACTCTGCTGGACCTCAGCCAGTTAGGTAAGGACCAGGACCAGGACCAGGACCGGGACCAGGACCGGGACGACTGGTCCTAACCCTAACCTCCTCTAGACACAATACACACACACACATTACACACACACACACACACACACACATTACACACACACACACATTACACACACACACACACACATTACATGCACACACACAGACACATTACACACACACATTACACGCACACAACACACACACACACACACATTACACGCACACACACACACACAGACACATTACACACACACATTACACGCACACACACACACAACACACACATACACACACATAGACACACATACACACACACACATTACACGCGCACACACACACACACACATACATTACACACACATACATTACACATACATTACACGCACACACACACACACACACACATACATTACACACACACACACACACACACATACATTACACATACATTACACACACACACACACATACATTACACATACATTACACACACACACACACACACACATTACACGCGCACACACACACACACATACATTACACATACATTACACACACACACACACACATACATTACACATACATTACACACACACACACACACACATTACACACACACATTACGCGCGCACACACACACACACATTACACACACACACACACATACATTACACATACATTACACACACACACATACA